AAAATATAACATTTTTCTGATGATTAAACGTTTTAAAACTAATTTTTAGTTTTAAACAGGCACCTACTTAGTAAAACATTGCTAATTGGGTGATTGATAATTATGTAAGGTAATTTTAAGTAAATATGAACCAATAAAACTTATAATGCAACAGAAATATCAAAAAACCTGTTTTTACTAGTTAGTATTACTACACGAATTTTATATTGTATAATATACATATTGTAATGTTTGATACAAAAATTTAAATTATCATAAAAATTAAAACTTTACAGATAATTTACTACTGAAAATTCATAAAATATTTTTTACCAAAATTATTTTTTAAAACTACTCAATAAAATGGTTCTTGAAATTTTTTTATATATATATATATTTTTTAATAAATTAAAAAAAGTTATAAAAAAGTAAATTAAAATAAAATATTAATGGATTCAAAAGTTATTAAATTTGACATATCTTTGTTTCACCCTCCTGTATATATATATATATAAATTGTTGATAATTTTTTAAAAATTAGTCCAAATGTTGCTATGAACCAGTCATTTTCTTAATTATATCATTATATATAAAATAACATAGTAAATAATGTATATTTCCAATTGAAAAATAATGTTGACACCCTTATAAGGTAATAAGGATGAATTAAAAAATGTATTATATTATTTTCTATTTTATAAGCTAGATTTATGTATGTTACTATTTAAAATTATACACCACTTTAAATTATATGCATCGACGTTAAAAAGTAATTATTTACTGATAAATCAATATTTATATGTAACTAAATAAAAGCAAATTTTTTTTTCAATAATTTATTTATTTTGATAGTAATGGGAGTTTTTTTATGACATTACATATATATAATAAAGAATTAAGTAAGATTTTAACATGACTAAATATCATAATTTTAATATAATCGAAACTGAACACTATACCGAAACTATTTTGCAGTATTTTTTAAAATGATACTATTATAATTAAATTTAAATAACAAGTGATGTATTTCATATAAAAAAAATTATATATTATTATGAGCAGTAATACATAATACAATTAATTTTCTGAATCATATTAAATTTGTATTTTTAATAATCTTCATAATTTTTTATGAATTTATGTATATGTTTATACACTAATATTTTTATAAATCTTATACTTGCCGAAACAATGAAGTATTAATGTATGTATTATTCTAGTGTTGAAATTAAATACTAATTTATTTTCGATGATAACTATTTAATAATAATATGAAAAGAAAAAATTAAAATGACAAGATGATTTAAATAAGTAGAAGTGTTGTTTAGTAGATTTTTAAATCAGACACGCATTATTATTATTACACTCATCCTTTAAATAATTTTTTTGCTGAACATCATCTTAATATGCTGTAACTTATTAGCCATAAATATATGTTAACATGAGTAATTGTGTAATTGGATAATAATATACAGATTTTAATTGAATATTTACATAGAACCCATCTGATTTTATATCTACAATATAATAAAACGTAATAGTAATTCTCATATTATACAGAGAGTAATATAATGAGGTACATTTGATCTTATAGTAAAAATAACGATCTTTATAATGTAATAGGAATTTATGTTGTATCTATAATATTGAATGTATAATACTAAATAATTTTGTTTATTAATAACAGAAAATGATAAATTTATTCTTATAGAATAAAATTTTTAAATCTCATAAATTTTTAATTAATGTTACTAATAATATCGCTTTTTTGCTAGTAGACGGTTCACTAAGAGTCTTTTATTAAAGTTAGATCAAAATAATGTTAAAAGACCATTTTCCTAAACATCACTAAACCAATTAGAATTAAACTACAGCTAGGTAGGTAAAGAAATTCTTGCAATAATAATATTAGGAATTAAAAAAATTCACTATTATTTATAAGATAATAAATTTTAGTCATTTAGTGATTGTAAACTTTTAAAAAGCATATGTGGTTCAAAAGAGGGTTTACCTCCGATAACTGCCAGTAGATTGCAAAGATATACGATTATACTTTCAGGGTATAATTTTGAAATAAATTTTATTAATTCTGAAAATAATGAAGCCCATATATTCTCTAGACTAACAATAGATAAAACTAATAAAGATTTAAAGAAATATCTTATTTAAATTTGGTGGTCGAATTAATGGTAATAAATGCTAAATCAGTTTAAATAGAAACAAACATAAAATACTAAGTATAGTTAATTACTACATCGTACATGGCTGACCAAAAGAAGTAGAAGAAAACATTCAAGTATACAAGAGTAAACGTGAATTACTCATTATATAACAAAATATAATATTACGAGGCACCGAACAGTCATACCAGAAAAACTTAGAAAATTATATTAGATGAGATACATTAAAATCATTTAGCAGTTGGAAATATGAAGTCTTTGGCTAGAGGATATGTATGATGACCAAAAATAGACAAAAATATAGAAGTTAATGCTTCAAAATGTTTAAATTGAGATATGAGCCATGCTAAATAAGGTAGGCGTTCATATTTAGAAATGGCCACAAGCACTATGGCAACGCTTACACACAGACATTCTAGGGCCATTTAAAGGTTACTTAATACTAGTTATTGAAAATCCTTACAATAAACGGATAGAAACATTTTCAATACCATCAAATGCGGCTAAATACACTATAGATAAAATTGGAAAATTATTTTCTAGATTTGGTTTATGTGAATACTTGGTTACTGATAACGGTCCTCCGTTTACTTTTGAGGAAGTTTAAGATTTTGTGAAAAATAATGGAATAAGTCATAGATATTCATCAACTTTCTATCCCTTATTGAATCTGTTAAAAGAGTTATCAGTCCAACACACGCTCATCTCTAGTTAGTAATACTGGATATGGTGCAATCCCTCTTGTACCACATCCAGAGAAATAGTTACTAAAATTAATGGAAAAAGTATATAAAACTAAGGAAAATCGGGTATGATTTGGAGCCTATGGAATCGATTCATTGAAATGACATCTTTTTAATCATTATATTAATGCTAAAGAATATTCATTGAAACAATTATTAATTTCTTTAATTTTATTCTTACAGTCCATAGTTTTAAATACTTGGTAATTAAACTGTTGGAAAATTATTAACATTAATTTAATGAAAATACATCCTATGGTATTTATTTTAAAGATATAATTCGTTGTAATAATTAACTCTAATCATAAATTTAACTTTTCTTGAAACATAAATATGATGAGTTGTAAGTATTGATTTTAAGCTATTATTATTAGGTCAGTTTTTAAAACAATTCCATTTTTTCATAAAAATTAAAATTTCTTTGCATTACTTTAAGAACTACTTTACTTAGTAATAAAGTAAAAATCCATCTTCTAGATTATTTTTTTGCGAGTTATAAAAACAAATGAATGGGTTATTTAAATTTAATAATTTTAATACTTTGCCATTTATTAAGTATATTTATTTTTAATGTAAAAAATTAATTAATATAAATGATAAATACAAATTACAAATATAAATAGCTGAATTCCTAATTAATAAGGAATAAAATTTACATAAATAAAATTTTATTTTAACATAGTTACATGTTCCATTGGTTTCCATCAAATTAACATTATATTGAAACATCAAATATAAATAAAAATAATAATAAACATATATAAGTATATATATATTAAAATGTAAAATCAATAAATCTTTAAAAATGTTTTAATCTTATAACTGTTTTTTCATCATTAAGATGATATAAACAAATTGGTGGACCTGAGAAATCATTAATATCTTTTAATACATAGAGATCATCAGTATCAACATTTGAAACAACAAAGCTTACAAAATGTTTATTATAAGATAGTACATTTAATGTTATACATAAAAAAAAAACTTTCTCATCAATGTTTTTACAATAAATCTCTTATTTGTAACTGAATCTATTTCATAGGATCTGGAAGTTGGAACTAATAAAACATTCATTAGATCTAAAACTAAAAGATTTCTGGTTTCTGTAAAAAAAATTAATAAATTATTATTTGATTAATTAAAAATTGTGAGAAATTGTTTTACCAACATCAGTTTCGTTTATTTCTATTAAACGTTTAAGTAATAATTTGCTGTTTCCATCCTTTATTTTATTTATCATTAATGAAATGATCTTAATAATAAATTGATCCCAATTAACAAATAATGAATATCCTTTTGAAGCATATATATATATATTCAAAATCAATATCAATCTAGAATTAAATTAATGAAAAAAGTAATTATGTAAATTAGTATCATTGAAATATAAACCTAATTATAACTAAGGCATACACACACACACATTTCTATAAATTTTAAAATCATAAAGTGCAGAATAAATAAAATTGTAATCCTGAGCATGTAAACATAAATATATTTTTCAATTACTATATTAATTGAAATATACATACAAAACTTCTTTTAAAAATACTTAAGAAATTTTAATGATTAAAATGCCAAGCTGTGACCAAATGACTGTTTGTACATAGGCCATTCTTCGAGAATATTATTAATGTTAATACTTGGAGACAACAGATATTCTCAACAAATTTCACAAGTCTCTTCCCATTTTATAATTACTTCATTTATAGACTCAATGTTAAACTGAAGCCATTTTTTTACTTTAATTAAAAATTCATTATCTACAAATAAACCCTATTATTTTACTAATTATTAGTAAAAATTACTATTATTAATTATTTACTTATAGTTGCCCTATGTAGTAAAGATGTTTGCTGTAAGTTACTATCATCAAAACTTTTTTTTACTTTTTTTATGGGAGACCACAATTTGTGTTTGCGTAATATTATTAATGTATTATGATATTTTTGGTACAATATTCACTTTGGTTTTTATGCAGGCACGCTAATGAAGTATGTTTCCTATAAGACAATTATACTGATATATTTAAAATTGTACCGATAATTACTAAAACGTCACACGTCTAAAAGATATAAAAATAAATATGTGTACTTACCGATAAATATATTGAAGAAGCAATCACCTTTTAACTCTCCTAGTACATCTAGTAGAGCTGATTCGTGTAAAAATTCTTCGGAAAATTCATTATTTTCAATGACGACAGAATTTAAAATTATTTTTTCCATTTAGTTATAAAAACAATCAGTAGACACTATACATTAACAAAAACGACGCCAAGTGTAGAATAATGTTGCGTATTGTCACCGTTATCTAATAGCACAATAATAACAGTTCCCAGCCAGTATACAGCTCATATGACTCTTGAAGGAATCAGATCGTCCATAACATCATTCAGAACTCAAACACCAGAGAAAGTATTATTTTGTATCCCTTAGCTCTTAAGGCCATAATATCATTATAATATATAAGTTAATAATTTAAAGGTCCTGTAGTTTATTTTAGGTTAAGTATTATTATTGGTTCATGTGATCTTTGTGTTGAAAGGTTACAATTATCATAAAAAAAATCGAATTAATTGGCCACAACGGAAAAACTTTTTAACTTTTCATAGCGCACTGAAAAATACAAAATGAGGGTACCACCCACTGGTCGAACCATTGTACTATCGGATCGCAGTAGTATGAAAAAAAAAAAATTAAATATTGTACATTGAAGACAATTTGTATAAAAAAATAGAAAAGAAATAAAAGTCGTTCAATTTTAAAACCATTATTAAATTAAATTACTGCTAATAATAAGAAATAAAAGGTAAAGGTTTTTTATAGTTGAACAGGCCATAATAATACTAAATGCTGAAATAATCAGACTTAAAATTAACTAAAGTTGTATTTGATGTTCGCTGAGTCGTTGATAGTTGATGTACACCAAAACCTTGTGACAGTTGTCACATAACCGTGATGATCAGGGATGACCTTATACAAGACCGTTGCCCGTATCTTATAAACTAGGAGGAGTTGATTTTTGAAAGAAAAAAAGTACAAAAATACACGAGTCTATTGAAGATGGAACACGCAAAAAATTAAAATGATAGTTAAGTTAAATGAAAGGGACTTTATTAAAAAAAACAAAAACAAAATAATTATGATAATATGAGCCAAAAAACCGAACGGTCAAAAAACCTCTTTTACAAATTAAAGAGACACAAAGAAGAGAAAAAAAAAATCAGATATTAATAAAACAGATTTAAACTTACACTTTTATTATTAGAGAATACGATGAACGTCTTCGGGTACTCACCGGCTATTAAGCACAGTATTACCGCTAAGCACGGCGGGTATATGCCTCAAATAAGCGACTGATTTTAAGCAGTTAGACTTAGCTTGTAAGACGTTGGGACACCCCGGAATAAATTGCACTACGATACCACATTGTACCAATAGTATATATCACCCCATGTAATATAATATTTTTAAATCACAAAAATATATATACAATATGACAGGTGGTAATGTAACACAACTGCCATGTTGAGGGATCAACAAAATAAATTTAACAAAAAAATTCGCCATACATATTTATGGCACAGCGCGCTAAAAAACATAACCAGGCTCAAAACATTTAAAAAAAATATACATTACCAGGACCGAAGGGCTAAAGAGTAAGATGCAGGTTCAGCCATAAAATTAAAAAAAAATATATTTAACATAGCGGACACTCACAAAAAAAAAAAATTTTAAAACACAATTGGTTGCAGCTCACACAACTCAAAAAAAAAAAACACACCGCTACGGACGCAAAAGAGTACAAACAGTTCCGACTATAGCTATTCCACGACAAAACGTCAGTCGTTTGATCCAGCGATCCGATGGCGATATTCGGCTAGCCTTTAGAGTAGGTGGTGAGTAGTACAAATGACGTTCAAGATAGGAAAGGAGCGGGTTAAGTGTACACACAAATGCTGTCAATGAACCGGTACGAAGTAGTACACAGCTGACTATCTCGCACGCGCACAAACAAATCACAACACTTTATCGTGACTATTTGAATGATAAACGCCGTCGCAACACGTATTCGGCTCAACTAAATTAATTTGGGATACACAAAAATATATATACAAATATACTAAATGGAAGAGGTACCTTTTGTCACGTTACACTGTGTAAGCTATTGACGCCAAACGTTAGTTAAGGAATGTCGTAGCGCATCAATCCCCAGAGTACTGGACAAGCTGAGAGTGAAGTTAAGATAATCAAAAATTTAACATGTTAACATCAACATCAACTTGCTTTTGAAATTTTCTCTCAAGTTTAAATCCTTTTAAACACACAGGTTAAATGAAACTCATTTCCACAGCGATAACACTTTCCATCGAGGTCTTTTGGTGTTGTTATTTTATTATTTTTGTATGTGTTCTTTTGTGACCACTGGATTTTGTTTACATTTGCCATTGTTGTACTTTGCATTTGATTTCTACCTTGACATGAATCTTAAATTGATTGTGCTATTTCAACAAAAGTCATGTTAATTTCTTGTAATAATTTTTCACTCTTTCAATCCCCTTACGAATTGAGAATGTAAATTAACATCAATAGTTGACGCTTAACAATTTTTACAATTCAAATTACAGTGTCTTGTTAACTTGCGTAATTCTTTCACAAATACTGATGTTAATTATCCGTCATTTTGATTCCTTACATAGAAACGATGTTATTGAACTATCTCATTTGGAGTTGGACATAAATGTTTTTTTTTAACGAAGTTATAAGTATATCGAATTGCATTTATTTAGGTTGCTCTGGCCCTGTAAGTAATTAAAAAAAATTTGAGTTCAAGCAACTAATTAGTAACTGTACTTTCTTTTTCTCCGTTGTGCCATCATTTGATACTAGATTATTTAATTCAAACTAGTTGTCTAACCTCTGTATGTAAATTTTGAACGTTTTATTTGATTCATCAAATAAGTTCAAGTCTTGTAGGTACAATCGACTTCACCTTATCACTTTTTTGATCTTGAGTTGCTTTTAGGAATGCTAGTAATACCATATTAACACGACCATCTTTATCTCCAATATTGTAAATATTTATTGGTCTTATGAATAATATACATTTATATATATATATATACACATAATGGATAAAAATGGTTTGAAGTACACACGGTACAGAAATTAATTTTGTAATAATGATAATAACATAACCTAAAATATAACACAATCCATTTCATCTAAGCCAGGCATGACCTACGTGCGGCCCGCGACACTGTTCTATGCGGCCCATAGTTTAGTTTAGAATTTGAATAAAACAGTAGAAAAATTTAATAAATGCTTTATTTCAAATATGTCAGAAAAAAATTCAAATACAAAGTTAAAATCAGTGTGAAACTTGAGGTTGTTTTTGTAGCGCCAACTTCTTGATATCAGGTTCAAATTTTGTAGTGGCAGCCCTTAGTAAGTAATGAAGATGATCATCTGTAAGGCGAGATCTTTCTTTGCTTTTGATACATTTCATCCTTGAAAATGTTTGTTCACACAGATATGTCGATCCAAACATTGAAAAAACACGTTGAGCCAGTTTTTTTAATTCAGGAAAATTTTCGTCGTCAAGATTTTTGTAAAAGTTTGGTAAATTCTTTCGATTTTCTTCGTACAAGTCCTTCTGTAAAGTATTAGTTTTCAGTTCTATTATTTCCATTTGAAAATTTTCCTGAACTACAGCTTCATCCATCTGAAAAGGATTTTCAATCAATCGAAACAACATACTTTGTTCTTTAAGTTTTTTAAACCGTGTATGAAAATCCGTTTTTAATTTTTCCAACAAGTCTACAAATTTTACTGTTGAAAAATTTAAAAAATTCTTTTCTTGTATTTTTTTACAGCAATTAAAGTGTATAAAATTTTTATTTTCAATTTGTCTACTAAATAGATTTAGTTTCAGCTCAAAAGCGGACACGTCATTTAAGAGTTCAAATATGAATTTGCCCTGTGTCTGTAGTTTTAAATTTAAATCATTGCAGTGACTAGATATGTCGGTCAAAAAGGCTAAGTCCCAAAGCCACAATGAATCAGAAAGTTGAACGAATATTTTTCCTTTCTTCGTCATAAAAATCTCTATCTCAGCAAGAAGATTAAAAAAGCGTGATAATACTTGGGCTCGGCTTAACCAACGTATCTGGTTGTGGTAAAGAACATCGGAAAATTCACTACCGACTTCTTCCAAAAATGCTTGGAATTGCCGATGATTCAAGCCACGGGAACGAATAAAGTTCACAATGTCTCTAACAACATTCATGACGTGGTCCATTTCGAGTACTTTGCAACATAACGCCTGCTGATGAATAATGCAATGAACAGGCAATGGCTGTTCTAAATTTTGAGTGGCCATTTGATGCAAAATTTTTGTGACTAATCCATTTTTTGAACCAATCATGCTTGGTGCACCATCTGTTGTTAGTCCGCAAAGATTTTTCCAATTTAAATTCAACTTTGTTATGCACTGCAAAACTTCTTCAAAAAGGTCATCTGCAGATGTGCGGTCTTTCATGCTCTGTAAAGATGCAAGCTCTTCAGTTATTGTAAATTCTCGATCTATTCCCCGCACAAAAATGAGTAATTGCGCTGTATCACGATTGTCCGTGCTTTCGTCCAAAGCCAAGGAAAAAAAAGAAAACTGTTCTGCTTTTGTTTGCAACTGATCTTGTAAATTTTTACCAATGTCTTCTATGCGACGAGTAATGGTGGGCCGAGATAGACTTATTTCTTTGAATGCAGAGCATTTCTCAGGAGCGATTTCTTCAATAGCTGCGATGATGCACTTTTTAATAAACTCGCCACTATTAAGCGCTTGTTGATCTTTCGCAATAAGATTTGCAATCTTATAACTTGCTGTAACGATATCGTCCTTTCCTTTTACTTGTCGCGAAAACATACTTTTGACAGCGCTTGTCTCGTCCGCGAATTTTTTTTTTAATAACTCCAATTTAGATTCGCGAGCCTTATCTTTAATACTTTCATATTTTGATTTGTGTTTGGTTTCATAATGCCTCTGAATATTAAATTCCTTATAAACAGCCACGGATTCACGACGNATGCCTCTGAATATTAAATTCCTTATAAACAGCCACAGATTCACGACAAATAAGACAAGTTGGTTTCTCGTTGAATTGAATGAAAAAGTATTTATACATCCAAATGTCCTGAAAATGACGATTTTCTTCGGAAATTTTACGTATTTTTTTTTTTGTTTCAGACATTTTTATTAGGGCATTTATCACAGAGCTAAAAAAAATTATTTTTAAATAATAAATATTCGTTAATAATGATCAATTTTTATTTATAATGAAAAAATTTTTATTACCAATAATTCAATGCACTTAAATATCACTTTCACTGGAATATAGTCGCTTTAACATCATAAGCAGGAAACTAACTGACTCAAGTGTGCAAAGGACGCATCAATTAATAGTAGGCAATTGTTTGTGTTTATATTTATTTATAGTGTCAATGTTTTCTATCACCTTTAATCCCGCTCGTTTATGACCATATTTGGTAATGTTTACAATCTAAGTAGGTTTTTGATAATGTTTACAATAAAGATAGATTTTAGATAGATAACACATTTAATAATGTTTATAATATGGGTAGATTTAAATTAGATTATTAAAAATTTTTCAAAATGTGAATTTTCATAAATATGCGGCCCGTCTAAGTTTTGCTGAAATGACAAATGGCCCGCAAACTTAAAAAGGTTGGTCATGCCTGATCTAAGCTATAGATAATATGAATTTTGCTATATAGCTATATAGTAAGGATTTATTATAAATATATGATGATCTATACGATTAATAAAATTTAAATAGGTTCTTTTATGCTAAAAGAATCAACTTTGTTTTTAAGAACAAATTATGCAAATTTGTTCCTAAAAAAGTTATGGCAGTTTTAAGAAAAAAAACGGTAGCACAGTGGGGTTGTGGCACAGTGTGTATGAGATAGTATAGATGATATCTGGCAGTGATTAAAATCACTATCATAAGACAGACACGCTAAGATACAAATCTGTAGATAATGTTCAATTCTAAGGAATTGGTGGATAATTACAAAAGTAACATCAACTCCTATTTCCTTAATTATATACTGATTTAAAAATATAATACAAGAGTAAATACTAATTATAGTAATTAAATTTATAGTAAAATTGGTTATCAATAATTTAATATTGTAATTTATACGGAGAAATTATAAAAATAATACAGTAGCTGTATATTTCTTTACTTTAACAGGTATAAACATTTATAGGGCTTGATGCAATAATTTTCAATAAAAACTGTTTGTTACTTATAAATAAATACACTGCACTACAAGGAATTCTCATCAGAATTAAAAATATAATTTTCTAAAATAACTTTTCGTGCTGTTTTCAAATCTAAAATTAGACTTTTTCTATGACTTCTAATTTTTGATATTATTAATAATTACATATAAAATAATATTTAAAACAAAAAAAAAATTGTTTTTAAATTATAACTAATTTTTATTTTCAATATGTTAAAAATAAGCAGAACAAAATGACATTTTAACCTATTTCATTGGTCCTTTAAAATTGTTTTTGTGAAAGTTTATAATAGAAAAAAGTTGAATTTGTTACCATAACTTTTAGCAAAACTTGCATGTTTGAAATTGTCATTATTAAATAGAAAATTAAAAAAATGTTATTGTTAAGATAAATATGCAGTTAGTAAATTATACAGTAAATTTATCAGAAAAGCTCAATATTTGTTTGCATTTGTATTGTAAAAATAGGTCATGTGAGAGCTGAGAAAATAAATGACGTCCTCAAAAAGAAACCACATAATAAAATAATTTTAATATGAATAAGAAATTTCTTCTCACAAGGGGAGACTATAGTGATGAGATCCTTGATCATTATTAAATTTATTGAAAATAAATGATATAAAAATCAAATGAGTTGAAAATTATATTTTCACTCAAAAATAAATTACGAAAAAAATGCAAAAAAATTTGCCATAAGCGGGTTTGAACCTCGTGCTACAACGATAAAATTAAAGTGTTACCGATTCAGCAACCAAATCGCATTCGTCGACCGAAAAAATAGCAATTTAAGCAAGTTCAAATTTCAATATTATTTTTTTCGACTTAATAGAAGCAAACAATTTAAATAAGTTTAACTTTTTTTGTCTGTGAGTTAATACTGTGAATACGGTGACTATTTTCACCATGAAAACAAGTCCAGAGGTCCATTTTTTTTTCAAAATAAGTAACATAAGCTTTAATTTAAGGTATATATAAAAGTGTCAGTATTTTCGGAACATTTTCAAAAGTTAAGTTGAAAAAGTTCTACTTTATATACTCATGTTTTAAGGTTTGAACCCTCCTGTATAAAAGGAAATGGTGTGATTTAAAATAAATAGGATATCGAATGAAAGAGGTATATATATGAGGCGTATAGTTTCAAAACCAGCTATAAATGATTTTTTTTTGTATTTTCTAAATGATCACACTGTACTAAATGTCCTGTAAAAATATTGTACTTAAAAACAGGCTATAACTGGTTTAAATTAATCATAGAAAAATATGGTAGGTTTCAAAATCACCCATCTAACAATGTCATTTTCAAAACAATCCATAATCAATTATTTTTTTTTTCGCGGTAAATAATAATTGATAATGATTATATTTTATGCTAAGATATTAATACTGATTAATTATTTTATGTATTTAATTTTAAGAGTAAAGTTTTTATATTTCAAAAAATGGTTTTAGCTGGTTTTGAAACTATACAGAATGATTTTTTTATCATAACCTACTCAATTACTTACAGAGTAATAATAATTAAAATTTTTTTTTTTTTGGTTATCTTTAATTACACATTATTCTTGAATTATTAACTATGTAATACATTTTAAGTTCATCACTTATGACTGGTAAGGGTGTCAACTTTGTTTTTTTAAATGGCAACACATATTTTGAATTTTATAAAATGTTTGAGTTTTTAATTTAATAGTAAATGGCATTTGAATTTTTAATATAACTTTATTTGTTTATTAGATATAAACACTTAAAGTTTCAAATTTTTGAGTAAATATACATGTATAATACACAAGGGATTACAATTACGGGTAGCTAATTGGTTTTTTATGACATCGATATTAACAGGTACACAGCATTGTTATTATCAATGGTAATAAGGCACATTGTTGTGAGGTTATAAATACACTAACTGACAATACAGAATGTATATCTATTAATAGTCATAATTGATAATAAACAATCCGTGACTGTAATTGCAATGTCATAAAAATCCAATTAGCTACCTGTATTTATAATCCCTTGTGTATTTTACATGTATATTTATTCAAAAATTTAAAACTTTAAATGTTTATATCTAATAAACTAATAAAGTTATAATAAAAATTCAAATACCATTTACTATTTACTATTTTTTTTTGATTTTAAGAAACCAAAAAAAAAAAATGTTTAAATTATATTTATTCTGCAAGTAATTGAATGGGTTATGATAAAAAAAATCACTCTGTATACCTCATATATAATATTTATCATAAAAAAATAGTATTGATACATGCATATTTTTAAAAGTTATAGCAGCATATAATTAAAAGTGTAAAATATAATATAAAGAATTTTTTCACAAAAATAGCATATTTTTGAATACAGTAGTAATTTTCACCATGGAGACAAGTCGAGAGGTAATTTTTTTTTTTTCAAATAATAGTATATTACATAAGCTTTAATTTAAGATATATATAAAAGTTACAATATTTCTAGAGCATTTTCAAAAGTTAATTTTTTTGTGGAAAAATTGCCATTTTAAAACCTCTTCTGTGGGCAGGTAAAGGGCCAAATGTTCACAAAAATATATCAAAGTATAGGTAAATACCCAATGTATTTATATGAAAAAAATTGTTTTAACACATACATTTTTGAAAAAATGTCCAAAATTATCGATTTTTAAAATTGTAATTTTTTTGAAAATTTCTCCCATTTTTGAGGAACGAGGGAAATTTTTTCAATTTTTGAGAGTATTGTCTTCGATTAGATACGATTAGTGATCTTTTGACGTATTTTTCATTTAGTGAGAGCTGAGATTAAGTGGTATCAGAAACAAAAAAAAAAATAATAAAAAAAACATATCATAGTACCTTCATTAATACCTGGTATCATTGGTGTCATTAATATTTTCTCAACTTCACATCGAAGCTAAAACTTACTGTATTACTTATAGTTGTTATTATTGTACCCTTTAGTATATGAATTAAATCTTTTAGTTGGTATATCACAACAAACTGATACTGTTTGTTATCGACACAATAATGATTTTTTTTTCAATCCGAAGATTGGTTAAATGATTATTGATGTCTCTCAATTTATCTCTGTCACTTAAAATCCTCTTCAACTCCTAGTATGTCTCTAATCCAGTATTTTCCATCACTTGCTTTGAAAATGGAGTTCTAGACTTTCCTCTTCCAGGTTTTCTTTCAACTTTTCCCTCTATTATTGTGGTTATCCAAGGACTATTCTTTATTATGTATCCAATCCATGTTTTTCTTTTCATTCTTAGCATATTCCATACTGATTTTTGTGTATACATTCTCCTGAAAACCTAAATATTTTTTAACTCTTCTGTCCATGAATTTTTTAGCCTTCTTTAACACCTCCTGGCATAGTCCATGTGTACCTTCTATGCTAAGACTACGAGAATAGAGTGTTTGTTATCATTAAGTTTTATTCCTAAAATTTAAGTCTCTCAAAACTATTAGTCTTTTGCCTCTTTGGTTTCTTTTTTTCAACCCAAAAGCACCTGAAATACCTCGCTCTTGCTTTTCTCCTATAACTGCATTCCAATCCCCCATGATTATTATATTATCCTTCTCCTTTAATAACTTTTTAACTTCGTCAATTTGTTCATACATTTCCTCAATTTTGTCGTCTCCGTGACTAATTAACTAATATATACCACTCCGAATCATATACACTTGTATAATGAAAGTGTTAACAAGTTTTGTTTACAGTTTAATAGCAATTATTCAGCAATTGTATTGGACTACGGTGATAACTATTTTTCCCGTGTCTTTATTCATAATTAAACCTACTCCTATTATCTTATTATCATCTCCAGCAAAAATTAATGTTGATTTTCCATGCCTTTAATAAATATTTTTTTCAATTCATCAACCATATTTTTAAAATACAAATTACTGGGCTTCATTTTTCCCTAATATAAACCAAAAATACATAACGTTTCACTTTTTTGGTGAACGAATATAACAAAAATAAAAATTACTTAAAGAAGATTGGTAGACCATCAATACATATTACTAATATTATAACATCATTAAAATGTATTAAGAAATTACCAAAAGAATTTATGTTATTTGTAATTCCAAAATAAAAATAATAATCTAGAGTAATAATTCGAGTTAAATCATGTTCACTTGATTTTTTTTGTATTTAAAATAGTTCTGGCGTTTACTAAAAATGAATGAAAATTGTGCTGAAGCTTTAAAGCTTTTAATAAATTTGACAATGAATCCGTTAGTCATAATGAGTTATACACCATGTTACTATTTTTTTTTTTTAATATTATGTTTGGTATATAAAGCATCAATCATATCATTAAATATTCATTATCCTTCAATTCATAGCTAAAATAAATATTTCCTACACATTCATAAATTGATAAATCGATGTTAAAATCATAGATAGGTTATTTTAAAACAAGATAAGGTAAATAATTTGTATGACTAGTATTAAAATTTTTATTTTAGTTGATCGTTTCAACCTCGTCCAAGAATGTTCTATGCTCAGTAGACTTACCAGGTTGTTTTCACAGATTAAATAAAATTGGAATTATAATAAAGTAATAAATAATTAATTTAACCAAGATATACTGCAGTTATTAATAATGATAAATTAATTTAATAAAATAATTTATCTTATTAATTGCAATCATATGATAAACTTGATATTTAATTTTGAAATAAATATTGATTTTTAAATATTAAATCACTCAATTAATTAATCATCAATCCTATAGTCTAAAGAACAAAATAAACACAAGTAAAAGTTAAAAATATTTAATTTTATTTAAAGAACACTTATAGCAAATTTGATATCCCTTCTGCCATCTAGCGTACATTGCAATAGAAGAATTTACTTATAATTGTGAAAACAATAAAAGAGCTTGTGATATAACATTCAAAATTTAATATAACATATCAAAGGAATTATTTCTTTGATAATTATTATACGAAAATCAGTTATTTAGTTAAAATTAGAAGTATTAACTTTAAATATGTTAAATAAATAAAAAGAAAAACGTTTTCTCAAAATTTGTTTACCTTAAATCAATTTTAAAAATATTAGAAAATATACCTTTATACAGAGTGTTTAATAAGTTTGGAAACAATGATTTTTTAGACCCGTTATTGATTTTTTTAATATTTTTTTTAGAGTTAATTGAATAATGAAATGCATCTTTTACGATTAAAATTAAAGTTCAACTCTAATGTAAAAAGGATAAATATACTCTTACTTAAGAAATTTAAATGTCAACAACTGTGTGATTCTGCAGACACAATAATCATAAATTGCCTGATAACTGTAGCTTAGTGTATTATAATAATCGTATCAAAGCACGAAACGTCCAATAAATATTTTTGAATTAATATTGTACCATGTTAATGGAGTTATTAAATATCAGAAAAAAAAAAGGTTTTCTATTGCATTTTCTGTACGTTTACAAGAATAGAAGATTGTTGTTGAAAACATATGTATTAAAAATTAATTTTTTTGAATCAATTTTCATTTTAATTCGTTTTAAAGAACATATATATTCAGATACCAAGTGTAGAAAGGAATTTAAGTAAAGAAATATTTCACGTTTAACAATTTTTATAAGATTATAAAATAAATAAATAGATTAAAGTCAGTGTTCTTATTATATTTTTTTACAATAAACGATCAAGCTAGCTGGACACAAGGTAAGAAATTATATTTCTAAGCATGTCATAAAAAAATTAAAGATAGATTTAAAATAAGTCATGAATAATTTTTACTTCTTTTTTTTATGACAAAATATTATAACCCTAATTTATAATTCCCCTTTTTTTCTTTTTTTTTTTTATTATGACATTTTCAATTATATTTATGAAAAATGTATCATATAAACTCAAAACACTGACAGAAAAATTTAAGACGTAATAGTTAAATATAACTGATACAAGTAATTTAATAAAGACACGATTCAATCACTTTAAAATATAAACAAAAATTTCGATAAATTAGATGTATTATAGACGCTACTGTGTTATCCCAAAAAAATTAATTAGGTCCAGGAGCAGATATCATCAAACATCATCGAAAACAGTTAATGCCAAAATAGTTGACCAGAATTTAAAAACCGATTAAAAATGTCATTAATATCATTTTACAAGAAAAAATTCAAACATGTATTGGACGCACTGATAAATTTAACAAATGAACATTTATAAAGTACTATTGAAACATTGAAGCCTCTATTTAACATGTTAAAAATACTCATTAACTTGTTCATTAGGAAATGTCTCGAATATAGTTAAATAATTTCCTGATATGAACAATAGAGGAAAAATTCATGATATTGATGCAATACATACAAAAATTTTATTGAATTTCAATCATTGTGATAAAAAAAATTGAATAAATATTTTTGAAATATCTAAGTCATCAATATTAATTCTTGCACAAGTTAATCGAATTTGTTGTTTAGCAGCTGTTCTCGTTTTTACTGCTTCTGATGAAAGAATGTTAAGCAAATTAATATTAATGCAGTTTTACTTAAGATCTAAAATGGACTATCGACGATTACATGCATTCATTTAATGAATTAATTTTTTTATAAAAAATGAATATACTTTAATAAAAATCTATTAATATAAAAAATAATCGTGGTTGAAAATCGAGAGTTGATACGAATTTAGGGTATAAGGAATGGTAACAGAAAATTAATTTTTTTCTGTAAAACGGCTTAAACAAGTTCTATTATTGTTAAAAAATAAAAAATGATTAGCTCTAATATTTTTGATGATATTTCATGAGGCGTAGTGAAAGAATCACTCTGTATATTAATATTTTATAGCAACTTGACGATGAAGTAAATTCGAAACTATTAGTTACCATATAATTGTTTTACACTTGAATACTATTTATTTGTTTTATAATTAAATATGTTTTATACATAATAGTGTCACTTTAATCTTAAAATTTTTAAGTATATATTATGTGTTTATACATTTTAATTTTATATTATACGATTATGATGCAGTAGTGTAGTCAATTGGAAAAAAGAGACTACAATTCCCTCCAATTGGCTAATTAGTACTTTTAAAAGTATGACTTAAGAACTAGTAAGAATAAGCAATAAGCCAAAAAAAGGTCTTTGCCTCCTTCCCCTAAAACAAAAATTCTGAATACGCCACTGAGATTACATGCTTATAATTGCGGTATATATATTATAATATAAACCTTGAAAAAAATATAATTATAATGTTAAACTTTGGTTAAGCGTTGCGCAATAAAAAATGTTTAGTATTGATGAATAATGCAGTGTCATGGCAACAAAATAAATCAGCCTAAGTCATATGTAGCAAATTTAAGAAGTGATTCATTTACCTATATCTTTATTGTATATGTTAGTTTAATTTAACTCATATACACTGACCAAAATATAATGGCATACAGTAAGTACATAATAATTTTATTAAAAAGTAAAATATGACATTCGTATAGAAAATAACGTCGCGTTAACTTTTAGTCACAATTGAACTTTTAAGAAAGCGATGTGAGCATAATGAAGGGGAAATAAGTACTCTGGAAGAATTATCCTTACACCAAGAAGATTTAATAAAAATTGAAAATTTACAAAATTGGTGCAAAGGACTGAAAATACTGCTTTTACAATCCAACTTAATATTTAAAATTGGTACTTAAAAATTTATTTAATAATTAAAATACCTTCTCAGCTACGTATCGAAGCTAATATTTTAGTTTAATAACTATTAAAAAGCGATTATATTATATCATACTATTATATGGA